AATAATACAGGGACCAATTCTGCCAAAAAAAATGGAAAGTTGAATGGAACACAAACAAAAGGACATGAATAAACTAATTAAAGAAATACAGGGACCGGATATGTAAATCAAGGGACCAAACTTGGACAAAATATTCCAAATTTCCTATTCCTTTCTTCCGCAACTTTAATATATATTTAATAATAATAATTAGTGTTTTATATTAAAAAGAGGGAGAGAAATAGAGGTGGGAGATGTGAGAAGTTGTAAAAGGAGAACATGGAAGTCATAACCAACAAAGAAACATTCCCACCCTGTCAAAGTGGCAAATTCCCCATCATTGACAGTCTGCCATTTCCCTTTGCCAACAAATACCTATTTGTCAACTTTCCCTCCCCAAAACGTTGCCGTTTCAAAGTTCTCCAATCAAATAAGACAACACCAACCCTACTTTTTTGGACTTTTTTCCTTTAATAAGAATACATATTAGAATAATAATAATAGATTCTTATTATAAGAGAACAAATTAAAATAATAATAATAGATTCTCAATCATTTGTAACAATGAAGTTTGATGAAGGTGGCAAAATGATATCATATCAGACCCGGTAACATGGCCAATTGGTAGTTTCATGACGGGTTAAATGGATCCTGTTGAATTGTGTGATTCATGAATATCAAGGTTTTCAACTTTTTAAAAATATAGTAAATATATATATTAAATGTGATTACAATATTATATACTATGATTATATATTATAAAATTTATTGAAAAACTGGTTAAGAATATTTTATGTATTTAAATATGCTTTGGATAAATTTCAGTTATTTTCATTTTAGCTATATTTTTAAAAAGTTACCCATTCAACAAATGGCATATAATGATATAATATATGCCTTTCTATATTGACTCGCGCGTTTTCTAGATAAAAAAAACTTTTATTTAATCATATCTACCAATGGACAAGTTGAAAACGTGAAATTATTTCCTGTAAAATATAATTATATTATTTATATTTTACATAAGTATTAAACAAAATTTAAATGGTACTTTAAAGCATAATAATTCAAACGTTATATTGAAAAATATATTTTTGGTATATTTCTCTGCTTAAATTATTATTTTTTAATAAATTGACTTTACATGTGACTATATAAATTTTGTACTTCATGCAATATTAACAATATGTATATTTTATACTATCTTTTGCCCCAACGTATTTTGATAATTTTATTAATACTTTTAAATAAATACAAATCTTTTACTTTTTGATAACATATCGATGTAAGATTTACCATGTATGGTATTTGATAAAATATATGTAAATGCTCTTCAAGTTGTAAGCAACTAAGCATGACTGAACATTGTATATTTTAAAAACATTTTTTTTGAATGGTGCATAAATATGTCGAATTAAATATTAGTTTTTTGCTTTATTCTCTATTGATTATATCATATAAATTTATCTTATTTTCTGTGTTTAGAAAATTAAGTTATTCCTCATATATAATTTAATATAATATATAATGTGTCAAATATTTAGAATGAATTTTAATAAATGAATAAAAAAGTCATGGACTATAATTAGTTTCAACTAGATTATTAATAACAGTAAATAATATTTTATAAATAATATTTTATATTTTAAAATATTATATTGTACAATTCTATAAAACATAAATTATGGTGTATGAAAAAAAACTGTTATTCCAAATATTTCTAGTAAAATTTTCATTTCAATTTAATATATTTTTAAAATCATTATTATAAAATTTTAATACAACTACTATTATTTATAACTGCTATTATTAAATGGGAGAAATGGGAGAAGGTAAAAACATAAAATGTTTTTCACTTTTTCTATTGATTTGCCTTATTTAGCTGATCGATCTTTTCACATAAAACTTGGTCTAGGCATGTTTAGCAAAAATAGTAAAAACCAAAAGCCATAAATAAAATAGTCATTTTAGTACATTATCCATTAAATGAGGTGTATAAATGATACTACATGTAACGTCAATTCATTTCGCCTTTGCCAAATGACCTCATGATAATTTTTATAAATACAATGACTACTTGACTAGATCAAACTAAGGAAGCAATTCGAAAAATATGATTTTTATATCATAATTTGTTGGGAAAACTGCAATAAAGTCTCTACATATTCGCTTCATAATCGATTTAATCCTTATATATATATATATATTTTTTATTCAATTAAGTCCCAAATATAGGTAATCGTATTCAATTTAACCCTTTGACCCGGTCAACAAGTCATCCAACTTTCAAAAATTACATTTTTGGCCCAGATTTCAAAATTTATTACAAATTTGGTCCAAAATTTACATTTTTGGCCCATTAAATTTTGTTACAAATTTGATCCAAATTTTACCATTTTTGCCCAAATTTTAGAATTTTATTATGAATTCATCCTAACTTTAGTTTTTTTACAACTTTTTTTTTCTCAAAGAATTGTTTCTAATATGTTTTTGTTTTATAAAATCATATTTATACAAAAAAATGTATTTTCACATAAAAATCTCATATTTTATATATAAAAACTTTTTTGTATATGAAATATCTAGTTATAAAAATAGGTATTTGTTAAGTATATAAATATATACAAATCCTTTTTTTATAAAAAAATGTATACAAAAACGTATTTTACAAAAAAAATGTATACATACACCTATTTTATCTATATTTTTTTTTATAAAATCGTGTTTGTTTACATTTTTTTTATAAAAACGTGTTTGCATAATTTTTTATATAATACGTGTTTGTATACATTTTATAAAATGTATACAAACACGTATTATATAAAAAATTATTCAAACACGTTTTTATAAAATGTATACAAACACGTTTTTATAAAATGTACACAAACACGTATTATATAAAAAAAATTCAAACACGTTTTTATAAAAAAAAATATAAACAAACACGATTTTATAAAAAAAATGTATACATACACCTATTTTATCTATATTTTTTTTATAAAATCGTGTTTGTTTACATTTTTTTTATAAAAACGTGTTTGCATAATTTTTTATATAATACGTTTTTGTATACATTTTATAAAATGTATACAAACACGATTTTATAAAATATATACAAACACGTATTATATAAAAAATTATTCAAACACATTTTTATAAAATGTATACAAACACGATTTTATAAAATGTACACAAACACGTATTATATAAAAAAATTTCAAACACGTTTTTATAAAAAAATATAAACAAACACGATTTTATAAAAAAAATATAGATACACACCTATTTGTGTG